AACCCTATGGAGCACAATAGTCTGATCCACACCAATTACAGGGATGGTGCAGGACCAGGCAGCGTTTTGTTCTGTTCTGCACTGGGTCGCCACGAGTCAGGGGCCGACTTGACAGCAGCTAACAACAGTAACAGGAACGTGCTGGCCTCTTTTTCACTTTTATTTTAAAAAATCTATTTCTATTAGAAAAAAAGAAAAACAAAACAATTGGCAGGCAATCGCCCACAAAACCACCAGTGTCCTTCGCACAGCCCAGCCCTGTCTCCGTGGGATTCCTCGCCTTCAAGTCTGAGCGGCCATTCACGTAAGGTCGGTGGGGTCCCGCAGGCTCTAGCCGTCCCCCAAGGAGCACAGTCTACTTGGGGGACTTCTGGGCCTTTTCTGATGAGTCTTAGCCTAGGATTCAGAGACCAATGCTCAACATCGGAGATTCTTAATCCTCCCACTTACTGGCTTTGTGACCTCTGGCGAATAATTTAACCTCTTTAAGCCTTCCCTAGTCTCCTCATTTGTGAAACCAGGAGCAAGCTAATTCCTACCTTATCCACTTCAACAGGATAATTAGGAAAGTCAAATGTTAGAATACAGATGAAAGTACGTGATAAAGTATGAAACGTCTGATCCACCATATCATAATTACTATTATTATGTTATGATTTATTACCATAATTATTGGTGGTGGCACCTAATGAGGAATAAAACTGACAATAAAATATATATCAGTCCATATAACTGATATAAGGAGCCCCGGTGGCGCAGCGGTTTAAGCACTTCGCTGCAAACCAAAAGGTCAGCTGTTTGAACCCACCAGCCACTCTGCGGGAGAATGATGTGGCAGTGTGCTTCCATAAAGATTACAGCCTTGGAGACCCTATGCGGCAGTTCTACTCTGTCATATAGGGCCGCTATGAGTTGGAATCAACTCAACTGCAATGGGTTTGCTTTTTTTTAATAACTCATATGTTATCAGTTACATAGTTATATAAGTTATTATAGTTCTCTGATAATGTCACTTGGATTGAGATCCTCCTTTTTGGGACTCTAATTAGTGAAGGTGATGTCAAATCTTTTAGTTCCTAAAGCATTAAATTTCTACTACTTTAGAAATAAATACAAGTAATTATCACTCTGTGGAAAAACACCCTTGTACTTCTTCTCAAAGAGAAAAAAAAAACTAATAAAAAGCACAAGAATGATGAAAAAAGAAAATCCAGCTAAGTGAATTTAACACCAACTGGTGTCTCTGAGATTAAACATGTAAAGTGCAAGCCAAGTCTCTAATTGGGATCACAGAAGGACAACAGAGATGGCCGACTGTGGAAGTCAACCAGCCAGCCTGGGATTACCACCAGGGAAGGCAAAGAAGGGAGCTAGGGCCACAAAACTCTATATTACAATGGCCGGGTACTACCTGAAAAGGAGTCCTGGTGGCCCCATGGTTAAGCACTCGTCTGCTAACTGAAAGGTTGGTGGTTTGAGCCCACCCAGCGGCTCCCCGGGAGAAAGACCTGGCGATCTGCTTCTGTAAAGATTACAGCCTAGGAAACCCTAAGGGGCCGTGCTACTCTGCCACCTAGCATCGCTATGAGTTGAAATCAACTTGATGGCACCCAACAATAACAAGAAGTGGGTGTATGAACCAAATTTAGGAATGCAAGTAGGCAGCACTACAGACAACACCCCTAACTGGTGAAACAAACCAACCGAGAGAGGTATAGGGCACAGTCAAAAACTGGAACAAAGAAAGGAAGGGTTTTTGATTGAGAACAAATACATGCAAATCTAAGTAAACCTGAGAACTGTCTGAGAAGGTTCTCCTGCTAACCCTGGTCAGGTCAGTGTAGTTGATAGGTTGTCATCATTTTATACTCCTTCTATTGGTTAAGAGCTTGGCCGCTAACCAAAAAGGTCAGCAGTTCGAATCCACCAGCCGCTCCCTGGAAACCCTGTGGGGCAGTTCTCCTGTGTCCTACAGGGTCACTATGAGTCGGAATCAACTCGACGGCAATGGGTTTTTATTAACTAATGGATTCCCATGGCAGAGATAACTGTGTTCACCACACAGTTCCCTTTTCCTGGGAATAGATGAAGGTTACATTTCCCAGAAGGAGCCCTGGTGGCTCAATGGTTAAGTGCTTGCCTGCTAACCAAAAGGTTGGTGGTTCGAATCCTCCCAGCGATTCCACGACAGGAAAACCTGGCAATCTGCTCCTGCAAAGATTACAGCCTAGAAAACCCTATGGGGCAGTTCTACTGTCACAATGGGTCATTAGGAGTCAAAAATTGACTCGACAGCACCTAACAACATTTCCCAGCTTCCCTTGTAGTTAACTTGGGACTGTGTGATTGAGTTCTGGCCAAAGGGATGTGGGTGGGACAGTCACCCTCTCCAAGAAGTGATGTTTCCCTAAAAGCCGTTGTGGAAGTCCCTGCTTTCCTATCATTCTCTGCCAAGGGGATCTTGGAAGCTACTTGTTCCAGATAGTGTAGCTAAAAGATGAAGGAAGGCTGTCCAACCTGCATTGGGTTGTGAATGAGTAAGAAACAAACTACTATGAAAGTTTTTTGTTTTACTCAGTTGCTGTCGAGTTGACTCTGTTCTGACTCCTGGCAACCCCATGTGTATCACAGCAGAACTGTGCTTCATAACATTTTCAATGACTGTGATCTTTCACAAGTAGATTGCCAGGTCTTTTTCTCTGAGGCATCTCTGGGTAGATTCAAACTGCTAACCTTTCCGTTAGTAGCCAAGTGTTTAATTATTTGTGAAAGTAGAAGTTTATCTGTTATAGCAGCATGGCGCAACTGATCCTGACTGATACAGTTGTGCTATATAGAGGGGATCACAGATGGGAGAAGGTGGAGACTCAAGCTTGATAGAGTTGGTCTGGGATTAGTACTCTCTTAGCCAGGCCAGAAGGGTTGGATTCTTTCAAGTAAAAGAGAAAAAGGGTGTCAATGGTATTGTCCTCACTTCCGGAGGAGATGGGCAGCCAGCCACACCTAGTTCTCTGATAATGTCACTGGGATTGAGATCTTCCTTTTCCAGAATATAATTAGTGAGGTGATGTCAAATCTTTTCATTCCTAGAGCAAAGAGCAGAGGTTCTCAACCTGAGTTGTGCATGTGAATCAAGAGGGGAGTTTTCGAAAACTGGTGATGTCCATTCTAACTCAGCCCAATTAAATCAGAATTTACAATGCACAGTAAGAATTAAGAACCAGAAAGCATGTGAGAGGTTCTCAAATTTCCACGTGCATCAGAATCACCTGGGGTGGGGAGGGAGGGGGAACGCAAATCACTAACTAGATAGTAGACAAGTGTCGACTTCACTGAAGGGAAGGACAACACACAATACAGGGGAAGTCAGCACAACTGGACCAAAGCGAAAGCACAGAAGTTTCCTGGACACATCCAAACACTTTGAGGGACTGAGTAGCTGGGGCTGGGGAGATTCCTGGGCCCCGCACCTAGAGATTGATTCACTAGGCCTGGGGTGGGGCCTGAGGATACACATTTTTACAACACACTCCCCGGGTGATTCTGATGAGAGACGGTGGTTAAGAGCCTGAGCTCTGGACAGAGTTGGCTGCTGGAGTCTAGCTCTGCTGTCACTAGCTATGTAACTCTGAAAAAATGTACTTGGCTTCTTTAAGTTTCCGTTACTTCACCTGAGAAATGGGCACAGCGATACCTTGCGCGGTCACTGGCAGGACAAAATAAGAAAAGGTGGCTGTTGGTACCACCCACAACCACACTCGAGATCTGAGACGGCAGTGAGGAAGAGGACTCTGCTCCGGTCCTTTCTGCTCTTTCTGTGACGCCAGTCTGACTCCTCCCTGGCTTGATGGGAGCACAGAGGTCTGAGCCTGTGAACCTGACTGTGCCCAGAGAATGGCATTAGCTGGAAATCCACCCAAGATTCTGGGAAACACCACCTCCTCCTCTCCCCGCTAGGACCTTGGCATCCTGGACCACACAGCTAATGAAGGATGTGAGATATGTACTGATGCCTTGGAACTGCCTCTCCAAATTGCTTTTTTGGGGCTGCCCCCAGAGGGTGGGGTAACCGTTCATTCCTCAAAGTGCATTTTCAAAGCAGATGAACATGATCTGAAAGCCTGGCTCAAGTCTCACCTTGTCCTAGAGGCTCTCACTGACCAACATTCTTCCCTTGCTTCCCCCTGCCCCCAGCCCATCCGCAAAAAACTCTTCTCTCAATCACAACAGTCCTGCTGGCTTCTGCAGCGGGCACCTCCAGCCTGGTGATGTTCTCTAGTTCAGTGACTCCCTAACATTTTTTCCCACCATTACATATTGGTTTTTTACATCATTAAGGGTTTAAAATTAGAATGGTAATACAAATTCATTGTAAATATCCCATCTATTCAAATCAAACATATATATTTTTAAATGAACCTAAATTTATTTCACCTAAAGGATTGTTCTTTATTCCTAATTGGTGTTAAACTGCCTTTTCTTTTAGGATATAATAGTGGTAGGGGATGATCATTTTTCTAGGTATTCTTAATTAAAGAACATGTTGGTATATACGGTGGACCCCTGAACTTTGCTTTGGGGATGTTTTAATGGTCTGTGAAATTCCAAACTCTGGGAACCTTTTTTTTTTTTTTTTTAAATGAAAGCCATTAATTTATTGAGAATTACAATCTACTATGACCACAGCAATTTAAATATTGCATTTGAAAGCCATAATACAAGCAATTAACATTCAGAGAGCAGAAGAGTTCAATTTAACCAGCACTTAAGCAGCTCTTGCAAGCTTGGCATTATCGGTGTTGTTAGGTGCCGCTGAGTCGATTCTGACTCACAGCAACCCTACATGACAGAGTAGAATAAGGCTGTATTCTTTAGGGAAACAGCCAGGTCTTTCTCCCACGAAGCTGCTGGGTGGGTCTGGGTGCCAGCCTTTTGGTCAGCAGCCAAGCACTTAACCCTTGTGCCACCAGGGCTCCCTAAGCTTGGTTATTAGTTCATTTATTTGTATTCACCTTTAATAACTATGTGCTACGGAAAAAACTTCGCGTGCCACCATAACCATTTGAAAGGGAAGACTGTACTTTTGCATGGTGTCTGGCTGTGTAAATTACTGATAAAAAGAACAGAGTATTCAGCTGTGCCTTAAACCAAAACCCATAGTTGATTCTGACTCCGCGTGACCCTATAGGACAGAGTAGAACTGCCCCAAAGGGTTTCCTAGGAGCAGCTGGTGGATTCGAACTGCTGACCTTTTGGTTAGCAGCTGAGCTCCTAACCACTAAGCCACCAGGGCTACTTTTTGTGTTTGATATGGATCTGTGACTCCTCCCCACTCTCCTAGGAGCCCTCTGCAAAGAGCCCTCAGAGATTCTGTGGAGCAGCGGAACGTGAGGTATTTGCCCAGCCCGGGCCCCTCTACTCTGAGAACTGTTCACCAAAGCCATCCTTGGGTAAACCCACCACATTCCCACTGGACTCTGTGGCCTGTCCTGCCACAGCTGTCTGGGCCAGGACTGGACCCCTGACCCATGAAACGACAATCACAGGCTCTTTCTCTTGAATTGCAAAGGAGAAATAGAGACTGCCAGCGAAAAAACCAATCATGCCAACAGCTGGACATCAGAGTGAATGTCCACGAATTCTGGCTGTCAAGTTCCAGAAATTTTCCTGGTTCCTGCCCTTTCACAGGTCTTCTTGTTAACTTTTTCTTGAACTGTTTGAGCCCCTGGATCAAGAAATGCCTAAAAAAAGAATGCCCTATTGGTTAAGGTAGGACCCTATTTGATAGCTTTTCTTAATATAGTTCTGGGCACACGCACAGGAAGCATCAGTTGACGCGACTTGTCGACTTAAAGTAACATACTGCTAAATGAAAAAGAAAAGGTTATTAAGTGGTACATTCTATCCGATACAACTTCCATAACAAATATGTACATATATGTAGGAAAATATTAATAGTTACCCTCGGGTGATAGGATTGGAGATGATTTTGGTTCTTTTTTTATGTGTTTTCCAAATTCTCACTATTAAAAATACACTACTTTTCAAATTAGAAGAACAAAGTTAATTTCAAAATTCTGAGACTATGAAAAGATATGGAGCAGCCTTGAATGCACACTGCTAGTGAAGAAGCCAGTCTGAAAAAGCTACATACTGTATGATTCCAACTATACGTCATTCCGGAAAAGGCAAAACTACAGAGACGGTGAAAAGATTAGTGGTTAACAAGGGTTCAGGGGAAAGGATGAATAGGTGGTGCATAAGGTATTTTTAGGGTGGTGAAGCTATTCTTTTTGATACTGTAATGGTAGACATGTGACATTATGCATTCGTAAAAACCCACAGACCATACAACACAAAGAGTGAACTCTAATGTAAACTATGGACCTTAGTTAGCAATAATGAATCAATATCGGTTCATCAGTTATAACATACATACTACACAAATGCAAGAGAATAAGGAAAACCATATACAAGCGAGAAGGAATAGGGGAACTCTGTATTTTTTGAACAAATTTTCGATAAACCTAAAACAGCTCTAAAATATTGTTATTAAAAAAATTGACGTATTTATTTGACAAAAATTATAGGGTAAATACTATGAAGTAAGCACTATGCTGGGCACCAGAGGAAACACACTCCTAATTTACTAGCAGCAGTCCTGAAAGCACTTAGTAAGGACAATTTTTGGTCATTCAACATGCTGATGTGAGCGAATAGGTTCTGTGTGCTCAGTTAATGCTGGAAGATCTGGGAAGGCAGCTTCCTTGCTTCAAAAGAATTTCCAGGTGGTGGGCTGCCAGGGTGATGGGGATATTTTAAGGAAGTTTATGCTAAATCAGGGCTAAGTAATCCATTTGATTTCTCTGGCTCTGCCGCACCACCTGTCACCATGTTGCACAGAACTCTGGGTTAATAATTCACATGGGAAGTTATATGACTTGGGTAAGGAGCCCGGTACCTTTGTTTCTACCCAGCTCAAAACCAGATGAGCATAGGTATTTTCACCCTCTAATTAAAAAAAAAAAAGCATTATTATAATAATGAAAAAAAATACATATTCATTACAAAAAAATTCAGTTTGAATCCACCAGGGGCTCCTTGGAAGCCCTACGGGGCAGTTCCTCTCTGTCATAGGGTTGCTATGAATCAAAATCAACTCAATGGCAATGGGTTTTTTTTTTTTTTTATTAAAAAATAATAACCCACCTAACACCTACAGGAACATAGCTAATATTTTAGGTCAAGAGTCAGCAAACTTTTTCTGGAAAGGGGCAGAGTGTAAATATTTTAGGCTTTGTAGGCCATACAGTCTCTGTTGCTATGACTCAACTCTGCCACTATAGCACGAAAGCAGCATGTAAATGAATGGGTATCGCTGTGTTCCAATAAAACTTTATTTATAAAAACAGGTGGCTGACTATAGTTCGCTAACCGGTTTTAGTGTATATGTTTATAGATTTTTAAAAATGAAAACATATATACATTAATATAATTTTTAAAAGCTATTACATTCATAAGCTAGAAAGAAGATAGAAAAGACAAAAGGCTACACGGTGAACAGTTTCTGATCTACAGTCCCCATTCCAGGGGCAACTATTGTTTCCAGTTTTCCTGTGTGCCCCTCCAGAGATATTCTAGGCCCACACTGTTCAATACAGAGACCACTAGCCATATTGGGCACTGAAATGTAACTAGTCTGAAATGACATGCACTGTAAGTATAAAATACCAATCTGCAAAGACTTAACATGAAAAAAAAAAGTAAAACATCTCAGTTAAATTTTTATATTGATTGCTTGTTGAAATGATAATATTTTGGATATGTTCGGTTAACTAAAATCTACTATTAAAGTTAATTCCACCTATTTCTTTAAAAAAATTTTTTAATGTGGCTACTAGAAAATGTAAAATTACATACGTGGCTCACATTGTATTTCTACTGGAGAGAGCACTGCTCTAGGTGTATGTGTGTGTATAACAGGGCAGAAACTGAAAGTTACTGCTGCATCATTCTCAGGTAAAGGGATCGGGTGATCCAAGTCCACCAATTCCCCCCTCCCCCTCACACCCACTGGAGGAGTCAAACTCTCCTGCTGACCTGTTGTATAGCTGCTGGGAACTGAACGTGTAGAGCACATACAGGGTGTTCCCCGCCAGAAAGGCCAAGATCCACAAGATGACCAGCACCGACCTCTTCTCCTGGAGACAAAGCAAGAGACCTGTGGGGACACTGCGATGCACCCATGGCACAACACTCCAGAATGTTTTGTGACTGGTGCCAACTCTTCCCTTTCTCGAGGGTTTGGAGAAGGCAGAGCTGATGCTGAAGGGAAGGGCATGAGCATCTTTCTGCTTCACTTGAACCCAAGGGGTGGTCACAGAGAAGGTGACAGAATGGTGGAAACCTGCTTGGAGAACTATCCATAAAGGCAGGAAAGCACTGTGGTTAGCAGCACAGACTCCGGAGCTGAACGGTCTAGGTTGAAATCCTCGGTCTGCTGCCTGGGAGCTGTGCAACCCAGGCAAACTATAAACTGTCTGCATTTCCTTTTTCTCATCTGCAAAATGGGTACATTAGTATCTACCTTGTAGAGTTCTTTGAATTAATATACATAAAAAAATGCTTAGAACAGTGGCTGGCACATAGTATCTGTTAACTTACATCTACTGCTAGGAACTGAGGCACAGAGAGGTTAAGTATCTGCTGCTAAAGGGCACATTTTTTAAAACCCAGTGTCCTCAGATTTGAAAATGGGGTGATGTTAAGCATTAACGTTTATACAGGCAGTCCCTGGGTTATGAACGAGATCTGTTCCTAAGTGTGTCTTTAAGAATTCGTAGGTAAGCCAGAACAGGTGCATATGATTCTTATTTAGCCTTACTTCAGTGCAAGAGGGAGCCCTGGTGGCACAGTGGTTAAGAGCTTGGCTGATAACCAAAAGGTCAGCAGTTCAAACCCACCAGCCGCTCCCTGGAAACCCTATGGGGCAGTTCTACTCTGTCCTATAGGGTCACTATGAGTTAGAATCGACTCAATGGCAATGGGTGTGTGTGTGTGTTAGTGCAAGAGTCCTGGTGGTGCAGTGGCTAAAGTGCTCAGCTGCTAACCAAAAGGTCAGTAGTTCGAACCCACCAGTTGCTCTGCGGGAGACAGATGTGGTAGCGTGCTTCCGTAAAGATTTACAGCCTTGGAAACCCTGTGGCGTAGTTCTACTCCAATCTATAGGGTTGACTTGATGGCAGTGGGTTTGGGTTTGGGTTAGTACAAGAAAAGGCTCGAAGCCTTTTCAGTGATTTAAAAGCTGCACGTGCAGCAAGTGAGGGTGATTGTGATGAAGAATTTGTTGCAAGCAGGGATTGGATCAATCGTTTCAAATTGAGGGCAAATTTATATAACATTAAAGGGCAAGTACCAGTTGTCCAAGAGTCAGAAGTTCGTAACTAAGGGACTTACTGTACAAAGCATTCACTCTGGTATGGGCACATATTTCAGGTTCACTAAATCGTTAAGTCTAATTGTTAAGACTTTTTATGACCCAGCAGTAGATTCAGATTCACTGGTTAGAAACATCTGTTCTAACCTTTTCCTAGAATGGATTTCCAGAACACTCCCTTGGGCTGGTTGTTCATTGTAGGGCCATATTTATAGGATTAAATTCAAACTCATATGTCTGACCACTCAAGCCCTTCACAATCCAGCCCCAAATAACTTTCTCCATCCTCATTTCTGTTTACTCCCAGAAAGACAAACGGGAAGCTCTTCTCAATTTGTCATTTCATAGCAGCTTCTTAGCCTGAGAGCAAATCCTTAGAAATGTCCGGAGGAGGTGCAGAGAAGAGCGTGTGTACCCTAGCAGACAGACACAGACCCCTCTGCTGCTGATGCTCAAAAGTGCATCTTTTCCTGGACCAGGGTGGCTGCATTGCTGGAATAAGATGAGGTCATAACTTTCCCAGTGTAACCTTCCCTGCAGTTTCGGTAAATGCTCAACACACACTGTCTCCAGACACAGCCCAGTGCCCCATGCGCTGTTACAGTACACATGTCCACAGACTGGATAAAAGAAATGATGCATCTCCATCTACCCATTATTCCAAGGGCATTCAAGGTCAACGACCCTAGAAACCACCTGCAACCA